GATTAGGGAGAACACTACAAATTTGTCTTAATCATCCCCAAAACCCTTAACAAGGGGATAAAAAAATATTTTTGCTATTATTTTTGATACCTGGATAACAAAATCTGATAAATGTGCGAGAAAAATTCAGTGTTCAACAATTCCTTGTTCAGGTCTTAACACAGAAAAAAACTAAAGTAGTTGAATTTAAAAATGGAGGTGTGTGTGCAAAATGAGAGAGGCGGTTTATACAGACAAGGCCTTGGTTGTAGTTAAAACAATAAATATTTGGGAGTTTATTTTTTGAGTAAATTATCCTGGCACTTTCCTACACGCTGGAACACAAGCCAAACGAATACCTCTGAGGATACCTAAGACTTATCAACAGTGTAAACTTCAAGGTGCTTCACTGAGGATGCCAAGCTATAGACATCCAAGAAAGTGTTATGATATGTGTTTTTGTGTGAAAGCAAACCTGGGTTTCGTTTGTTAAAAAGCTGATCAACAATATATTTTGGATATGCAGAATGTATAATTTCCTGAAATGTTTGTTGATAAATGTACCTAAAATTTATGTACAAACTAAAATGTCATAAATTTGTTATGTTTAAAACAGAGCAAAGAACAGTGGAGTATTTTTTTAAACCACTCTTGTATACATATAGTATCTTTTTCCAGATTTAAATGCTCATCACGTGTGTCTGTAGCAGGGAGCAAGTCAGGGCAGCAAAACACGGAACACGCTACTGGGGCGTAAGTTGACAGCTGGATCTGTATTCTATGTACAATGCACATAAGTAGTGGCTCTATCTCACTGTGTGGCAATGAGCTGCCATCTGTGTATGCATGATGGTGTAGTGGCTCTATCTCACTGTGTGGCAATGAGCTGCCATCTGTGTATGCATGATGGTGTAGTGGCTCTATCTCACTGTGTGGCAATGAGCTGCCATCTGTGTATGCATGATGGTGTAGTGGCTCTATCTCACTGTGTGGCAATGAGCTGCCATCTGTGTATGCATGATGGTATAGTGGCTCTATCTCACTGTGTGGCAATGTGCTGGCATCTGTGTATGCATGATGGTGTAGTGGCTCTATCTCACTGTGTGGCAATGAGCTGCCATCTGTGTATGCATGATGGTGTAGTGGCTCTATCTCACTGTGTGGCAATGAGCTGCCATCTGTGTATGCATGATGGTATAGTGGCTCTATCTCACTGTGTGGCAATGTGCTGGCATCTGTGTATGCATGATGGTGTAGTGGCTCTATCTCACTGTGTGGCAATGAGCTGCCATCTGTGTATGCACATACGTAGTGGCTCTATCTCACTGTGTGGCAATGAGCTGCCATCTGTGTATGCATGATGGCGTAGTGGCTCTATCTCACTGTGTGGCAATGAGCTGCCATCTGTGTATGCATGATGGTGTAGTGGCTCTATCTCACTGTGTGGCAATGAGCTGCCATCTGTGTATGCATGATGGTATAGTGGCTCTATCTCACTGTGTGGCAATGTGCTGGCATCTGTGTATGCATGATGGTGTAGTGGCTCTATCTCACTGTGTGGCAATGAGCTGCCATCTGTGTATGCACATACGTAGTGGCTCTATCTCACTGTGTGGCAATGAGCTGCCATCTGTGTATGCATGATGGTATAGTGGCTCTATCTCACTGTGTGGCAATGAGCTGCCATCTGTGTATGCACATACGTAGTGGCTCTATCTCACTGTGTGGCAATGAGCTGCCATCTGTGTATGCATGATGGTGTAGTGGTTCTATCTCACTGTGTGGCAATGAGCTGCCATCTGTGTATGCATGATGGTATAGTGGCTCTATCTCACTGTGTGGCAATGTGCTGGCATCTGTGTATGCATGATGGTGTAGTGGCTCTATCTCACTGTGTGGCAATGAGCTGCCATCTGTGTATGCATGATGGTGTAGTGGCTCTATCTCACTGTGTGGCAATGAGCTGCCATCTGTGTATGCATGATGGCGTAGTGGCTCTATCTCACTGTGTGGCAATGAGCTGCCATCTGTGTATGCATGATGGTGTAGTGGCTCTATCTCACTGTGTGGCAATGAGCTGCCATCTGTGTATGCATGATGGTGTAGTGGCTCTATCTCACTGTGTGGCAATGAGCTGGCATCTGTGTATGCATGATGGTGTAGTGGCTCTATCTCACTGTGTGGCAATGAGCTGCCATCTGTGTATGCATGATGGCGTAGTGGCTCTATCTCACTGTGTGGCAATGAGCTGCCATCTGTGTATGCATGATGGTGTAGTGGCTCTATCTCACTGTGTGGCAATGAGCTGGCATCTGTGTATGCATGATGGTCAAATGAAAGGCATCATCAGATCAACTGCCATGTTCTTACATTAGTACAGACATACGGAGCATAATCACTTGGTGCCAAGAAAAATCAGAAAGCTGATCATCTGCTAGTTTACAAAATATGAATATTGAAAGAAGAATATAAATCATAATCTCTAAGGAATGTAGACTGGGTAGAATGTGTAATTTTCAGTTTATAGAATACAAGAACCACTTGTTCTTAAATGCCCGTTTAATCAAAGTCCACCTTGCAAATACCTAGCGTCATTTATGTAACCATTTAACAATATATTTTAATTTTATGAATGATTGGCGTCTGTAAATACCCAGCATCATTTATGTACCAATCGCAAATATATTTAAGTTTAATGCACGAATTGAGTCTGTATATATAAAAGTATTAATGTCCCAACAGCTACCTATTTCCTACAATTAAGTTAAACAATAAAACATGAGACATAAACAATTAAACATTATTTCTGCACGTTCCGCCACACAGAGTTGTACAAAGCTCGGTGGCCGTTCAGTCCGTCTGCACTAAAGACTTGACTGACCATGACGGTGGGGTATTATTTGCTGTACAAGTCTTTGAGCACATGTCTGGCTAATTGCCCATGAGTCGTGTATGTTAACACCATATTCCCACTCCAGATACCAGTCCCTTGTCTCCTACTCATCTCCTCCCACTGTCTGCCACTCCAGGATCTGCTGCTACACAAGTATACCCACTACTGTGTTCTACACAATCCACATCACAGCTCGCTCTGTCCGCCACTCCAGGATCTGCTACTACACAAGTATACCCACTACTGTGTTCTACACAATCCACATCACAGCTCGGTCTGTCCGCCACTCCAGGATCTGCTGCTACACAAGTATACCCACTACTGTGTTCTACACAATCCACATCACAGCTCGGTCTGTCCGCCACTCCAGGATCTGCTACTACACAAGTATACCCACTACTGTGTTCTACACAATCCACATGACAGCTCGCTCTGTCCGCCACTCCAGGATCTGCTACTACACAAGTATACCCACTACTGTGTTCTACACAATCCACATCACAGCTCGGTCTGTCCGCCACTCCAGGATCTGCTGCTACACAAGTATACCCACTACTGTGTTCTACACAATCGACATCACACATCACAGCTCGGTCTGTCCGCCACTCCAGGATCTGCTACTACACAAGTATACCCACTACTGTGTTCTACACAATCGACATCACACATGACAGCTCGCTCTGTCCGCCACTCCAGGATCTGCTACTACACAAGTATACCCACTACTGTGTTCTACACAATCGACATCACACATGACAGCTCAGTCTGTCCGCCACTCCAGGATCTGCTACTACACAAGTATACCCACTACTGTGTTCTACACAATCGACATCACACATGACAGCTCAGTCTGTCCGCCACTCCAGGATCTGCTACTACACAAGTATACCCAATACTGTGTTCTACACAATCGACATCACACATGACAGTTCGTTCTGACTGAATATTCAGCATGCCTGGGGATAGGTGGACTTGCACAAGTCTCTAAGGCAATAATTATTAGTTTAATCATACTTTCTAGATAATGTAAATAAGAGACTGGAGTCTTTACTGTCCACATATCTAGACTTGCAAATTAGGGGGATAGAATAACTACCCATTCATGAAGTTTTCTTTCAGTACAGACTTGGAGCAAGGCATGGGGACAGGTGACTGCACTCATAGAAGAATAGCTTGAGTGAGTGAGTGAGTGAGTGGGAATTATCGGCAATATTTCTCTGCCACTTCCACAAATGTGATGTGATACCACATAATAACATTTAATAACACAGCACTTAAACATTTAATAACACAGCACTTAAGGCGTATATTCTCCTCCACGTTATTCCAAAGGAACGACAAAGTGTGGCCAATTATACCCGAAGAGATAATGAGAGACATTGACAGTAATGTTCCGCTGACAAATGCCAACGATCTGCATAATATCAGCAAAATATTTGTCAAAGTGTAATTCATTATCCCAAATTAAACCTAAAATTATCTAACTGAATACATTATTAGGCACAAATAATAACATGGATAACCTTACTCATCAAATGCCGGTAGAAATGACAATCTGCACCGAAATATCTTCCGGGCTGGATCTGAAGTAATCTCCTTTCTCCAAACAATGCCTGAGTTGTCTCCGTGCATGACTGCAGCTCTCATTAAGTTCCATAATAGGACAATTGTCTGCTAGACATATAAAAAAATGTCCTATTATAGCAGCCCGCAAAAGATATGACAGTATAAATATTGTGTTATTATCACAGCACCTGTTATGTGTCTTCACCGTTCCTCCCCAGTAGGAATATTCTACTTTCAGATTTCCTACAGAAATTCCTGTAACAATGTTATTCTTCCCTGTTATGTATACAGCCGCTGTGCACCAACGACGTGGGGTAATCGTCGGACACATTAGGTATGCTGAAATAACATATCCAAAAGCCAATATTCTTAAGCTGTATGCCCGAGGACACATGTGGGCAGGTCAAACTATTTCTGTAGGCATATTGATAAAACGATAGTGTAGTTTATCAATAAAACAGATCTTTCTGTAGATAAACATTCCTGTTTACAGATAGGCTAAATCATTATGTACAAACTTGGCTCCTTACAGAGACAAGAGGTGACATAAAGTGGCACTTACCTGACGTTGGGGGGGAACCACCCTGCCGAGAGCCTGGTGTGTCCGCACGGGGGTCTGTCCGTCCGAATCCGTGTTTGCCTCTGGAATGGAACAGCACGGGTAAAGTGAGATTGTACACTCCCGGGTCCGACAGGCCGGAGATCACACTGGCCCACTGTACCAGACAGGGGACACTTGCTCTTAACAATGATTGGTAATAAGTCCTAATAGTGGAGTCTGATGGGATTAAGTGTGTGTTGTGTGTATGCCACCAGTGTCAGAGATACAGATGCTGGTAGTCCTCTCTGTGTCACACGGTCATTGAAGCGAGGTGCTACCTCCCACTGATGGAGTCACTGGGGCAGACAGGCGTATTATCTTGCTCTGGGTGGCTTTGATGAGAGAACTGGACAATGCTTCTACTGAAAGCTGCCAGAACACCTTCCCGTAGTATCCATACTCGAGTTGTGCACACCGACAGCAGCCCACCACGCTGACTCGTTACAGGGCCGCCCCTTTCAGAGACTCACAGCCAATGATAGCTCACACTACAAATTACACCGGCTGGGGAAAAACTGATCAAAATGAACCTCTACTAGTCGGAGTAGCTGTGCGGGTGTTTATCAACACAGTCTTACATGAGCTAGACCTGCACTTGTGACAGTGTTGAGTGTGAGGGGTGACCTAGGTCTCTAGTGTTGATGTGAGCTTGACTGAGAGACCTCAGCCTGCAGTGAACCCTCCTCGCAGTGAGTATGTGTTTCTTCTCTCTATCACACACAGAGTACACAAACCTTCTCTCTATCACACACACAGTACACAAACCTCTCTATCACACACAGTACACAAACCTCCTCTCTATCATACACACAGTACACAAACCTTCTCTATCACACACAGTACACAAACCTTCTCTCTATCACACACAGTACACAAACCTCCTCTCTATCACACACACAGTACACAAACCTTCTCTCTATCACACAGTACACAAACCTTCTCTCTATCACACACACAGTACACAAACCTTCTCTCTATCACACACACAGTACACAAACCTTCTCTCTATCACACACACAGTACACAAACCTTCTCTCTATCACACACACAGTACACAAACCTCTCTATCACACACACACACACACATTACACAAACCTTCTCTCTATCACACACAGTACACAAACCTTCTCTCTATCACACAAACAGTACACAAACCTTCTCTCTATCACACACAGTACACAAACCTTTTCTCTATCACACACACAGTACACACACCTTCTCTCTATCACACACACAGTACACAAACCTTCTCTCTATCACACACAGTACACAAACCTTCTCTCTATCACACACACAGTACACAAACCTTCTCTCTATCACACACAGTACACAAACCTTTTCTCTATCTCACACACAGTACACAAACCTTTTCTCTATCACACACACAGTACACACACCTTCTCTCTATCACACACACAGTACACAAACCTCTCTATCACACACACAGTACACAAACCTTCTCTCTATCACACACACAGTACACAAACCTTCTCTCTATCATACACAGTACACAAACCTCTCTCTATCACACACACAGTACACAAACCTTCTCTCTATCACACACACAGTACACACACCTTCTCTCTATCACACACACAGTACACAAACCTCTCTCTATCACACACACAGTACACAAACCTTCTCTCTATCACACACACAGTACACACACCTTCTCTCTATCATACACACAGTACACAAACCTTCTCTCTATCACACACAGTACACACACTTTCTCTCTATCACACACACACACACAGTACACAAACCTTCTCTCTATCACACACACAGTACACAAACCTTCTCTCTATCACACACAGTACACACACTTTCTCTCTATCACACACCCAGTACACAAACCTTCTCTCTATCACACACACAGTACACAAACCTTCTCTCTATCACACACACACACAGTACAGAAACCTTCTCTCTATCACACACACAGTACACACACCTTCTCTCTATCACACACACAGTACACAAACCTTCTCTCTATCACACACAGTACACAAACCTTCTCTCTATCACACACAGTACACACACCTTCTCTCTATCACACACACAGTACACAAACCTTCTCTCTATCACACACACAGTACACAAACCTTCTCGCTATCACACACACTCACAGTACACAAACCTTCTCTCTACCACACACAGTACACACACCTTCTCTCTATCACACACAGTACACACACTTTCTCTCTATCACACACACAGTACACACACCTTCTCTCTATCACACACACAGTACACACACCTTCTCTCTATCACACACACAGTACACACACCTTCTCTCTATCATACACAGTACACACCTTCTCTCTATCACACACACAGTACACACACCTTCTCTCTATCACACACAGTACACACACTTTCTCTCTATCACACACACAGTACACAAACCTTCTCTCTATCACACACACAGTTCACACACCTTCTCTCTATCACACACAGTACACAAACCTTCTCTCTATCACACACACAGTACACAAACCTTCTCTCTATCACACACAGTACACACACCTTCTCTCTATCACACACAGTACACACACTTTCTCTCTATCACACACAGTACACAAACCTTCTCTCTATCATACACACACTACACAAACCTTCTCTCTATCACACACACACACAGTACACAAACCTTCTCTCTATCACACACAATACACACATATTCTCTCTATCACACACACAGTACTTAAACCTCTCTCTATCACACACACACACACAGTACACAAACCTTCTCTCTATCACACAGTACACACACCTTCTCTCTATCACACACACAGTACACAAACCTTCTCTCTATCATACACACAGTACACACACCTTTTCTCTATCATACACACAGTACACAAACCTTCTCTCTATCATACACACAGTACACAAACCTTCTCTCTATCATACACACAGTACACACACCTTCTCTCTATCACACACAGTACACAAACCTTCTCTCTATCATACACAGTACACAAACCTTCTCTATCACACACAGTACACACACCTTCTCTCTATCATACACAGTACACAAACCTTCTCTATCACACACAGTACACACACTTTCTCTCTATCACACACACAGTACACAAACCTTCTCTCTATCACACACACAGTACCCAAACCTTCTCTCTATCACACACACACAGTACACAAACCTTCTCTCTATCACACACAGTACACACACCTTCTCTCTATCACACACACAGTACACAAACCTTCTCTCTATCACACACACAGTACACACACCTTCTCTCTATCACACACAGTACACACACCTTCTCTCTATCACACACAGTACACACACCTCTCTATCACACACACAGTACACAAACCTTCTCTCTATCACACACACAGTACACAAACCTTCTCTCTATCACACACACACACAGTACACAAACCTTCTCTCTATCACACACAGTACACACTCCTTCTCTCTATCACACACAGTACACACACTTTCTCTCTATCACACACACAGTACACACACCTTCTCTCTATCATACACACAGTACACAAACCTTCTCTCTATCACACACAGTACACACACTTTCTCTCTATCACACACACACACAGTACACAAACCTTCTCTCTATCACACACAGTACACAAACCTCTCTATCACACACACAGAGTACACAAACCTTCTCTCTATCACATACACAGTACACAAACCTTCTCTCTATCACACACAGTACACAAACCTTCTCTCTATCACACACTGTACACAAACCTCTCTATCACACACTGTACACAAACCTTTTCTCTATCACACACAGTACACAAACCTTCTCTCTATCACACACACAGTACACACCTTTTCTCTATCACACACACAGAGTACACACACCTTCTCTCTATCACACACACAGTACACACACCTTCTCTCTATCACACAGTACACACACCTTCTCTCTATCACACACAGTACACAAACCTTCTCTCTATCACACACACAGTACACACACCTTCTCTCTATCACACACAGTACACACACCTTCTCTCTATCACACACTGTACACAAACCTTCTCTCTATCACACACTGTACACAAACCTCTCTCTCACACACTGTACACAAACCTTTTCTCTATCACACACACAGTACACAAACCTTCTCTCTATCACACACACACACAGTACACAAACCTTCTCTCTATCACACACAGTACACACTCCTTCTCTCTATCACACACAGTACACACACTTTCTCTCTATCACACACACAGTACACACACCTTCTCTCTATCATACACACAATACACAAACCTTCTCTCTATCACACACAGTACACACACTTTCTCTCTATCACACACACACACAGTACACAAACCTTCTCTCTATCACACACAGTACACAAACCTCTCTATCACACACACACACAGTACACAAACCTTCTCTCTATCACATACACAGTACACAAACCTTCTCTCTATCACACACAGTACACAAACCTTCTCTCTATCACACACTGTACACAAACCTCTCTATCACACACTGTACAGAAACCTTTTCTCTATCACACACAGTACACAAACCTTCTCTCTATCACACACACAGTACACACCTTTTCTCTATCACACACACAGAGTACACACACCTTCTCTCTATCACACACACAGTACACACACCTTCTCTCTATCACACAGTACACACACCTTCTCTCTATCACACACTGTACACAAACCTCTCTATCACACACTGTACACAAACCTTTTCTCTATCACACACAGTACACAAACCTTTTCTCTATCACACACACAGTACACACCTTCTCTCTATCACACACACAGAGTACACACACCTTCTCTCTATCACACACACAGTACACACACCTTCTCTCTATCACACACACAGTACACACACTTTCTCTCTATTACATGTATATTGTAAAGTAAGCACACTTTCTATCTCACAATTTCACAATTTCAGTGATAGCACTTTGTCTCTGATACTCCAGCAAAATTATCTTTTATACACCAACTTTGATATATATAGTATGTGATATCACCATGGATATTAGCTGTTATACACCAGCAATGATCTATTATGTCTGTTATCACACGGATTATTGACTGCTTCACACCAGTTATGATATATAGTATGTGATATCACCAGGAATATTATGTATTTAATCCCAGCTATGATATATAACATCTGATATCACACAGAATATTAACTGCTCTTCACACCAGTTATGATATATAGTATGTGATATCACCAGGAATATTATCTATTTAATCCCAGCTATGATATATAGTGTCTGATATCACACAGAATATCAGCTGTTATACACCAGCTGTGATATATAGTCTGTGATATAATCAAGAACAGATTCCAGCTGTAACAAAGCATCAGCTATAGCATCAGCTACAGCATCAGCTACAGCATCAGCTACAGCATCAGCTGTGATGTGGAAGAAGACATGTGAAACGAGAAGCTGGTGTAGGAAACTTCACACATCACTGCCAAGCCGACATATTGATTGTATATCTGCTTGTAGGGGATTATGAGCAACGATTGAATTATAGTGATAGAACCATTTGATTAGGTGAACACCAAACCATTTGACAATGAAGAGACCGGTTAACTTATGGTTGTCAAATAGTGTCATATTCCTATCAAATATATTGTTGTGTTTCTCAGACCTGAAAGAAATACCATTGTGTGACAAGCATTGTCTCA